GCCAGGTTCCCAGTTGGGGGCTTGCAAGAGGCAACCAGTCGATGTTTCTCTCCCTCTATTTTTCCCTCCCTTCCCCTCTCTCTAGAAATTAATAAATAAACTATAAAAAATTAAATATGTAATTTATATTTTCAATATAAACAAAATTTAACATTCAGATTCTCTGTAACACTAGCCATATTTCAATTGCTTAATAGCCATATGACTACCCTTTGAGACAGCACAAATATAGAAAATTTTCTCTGATGGTGTTGGTCTGTCACATGAATGACATATGTATCAACTTAATGCCTCTGGGCCTTGGTGTCACCATGTGCTAAATAAGGGGGTTGAACTTGGTCACCACTATGATTCCTCCAGCTCATATGTTCCTTATTTTGAAAACTCACAAAGTTATTGTGTGAATGTGAGGAGTTGGAGGAAAATGCCTGAAGACAGAGCTCTGGGGAACAAAGCTGCTTGAATGACAAGCAGCTGATCCCTGCATACAAGAGAGCTCAGGAGTAAGAAAAATCCAGATTTCACAGCAGCGTGTGTGTTTAAAAGGAAAGGGGATTAAGAAGAGTGCAGAGAGGACCAAGTTGTACGGCTGACACTACTCAACGATAAGACTTAGGATAAAGCTATCGTAATCAAGACAGTGTGGTACTGGCAAAAGAAAAGGCAAATAGATCAATGGAACAGAACAGAGAGCCAGAAACAGACTCTTGTAAATATAACCAACTGATCTCTGACAAAGGAGTAAAGGCAGTACAATGGCACAAAGATAATCGTTTCAACAAACGGTGCTGGAACAGCTGAATGTCCTTGTGCCAAAAAAAAAAGAATCTGGACACAGACCTTGTACCCTTCAGAAAAATTAACTCAAAATGGATCACAGACCTAAATGTAGTAAAATGCAAAACTATAGAACTCGAAGACAACATAGGAGAAAACCTTGATGACTTTGGGTATGGCAATGACTTTTTAGGTACAATACCAAAGATACAATCTGTCAGATGTTTGCTTTACTCCCACAGCAGCTCCTGGACCTTGCCCCTTGGTATGGACAGCAGGGGAATGCTTCTCTCCCTGGTCTGTGGCAACCAGCAGGACCAAGGGAAAGGAATACGATTTTGTGGGTGCATGAGCTTCAGCTCACTACCGCCAGGCAGTCCCTTCCCAGGGATTAATACCTGAGAACTGAGCTAGACAACCTAAAGAAAGTTCAGTCATCCCATTGAATGTTTTGGGGTTATTTTGGTTGTTAAATCTCCTTTGCAGTTATCCCTGTTTTTTTTTTTAACTTTTTAAGCATTTTGATGTAGGATTTACATACAATGAAATACACTCATTTTAGGTATCAAATTCAGTGAGTTTTGACAAACAGAGAACTCATTTAACCATCACCACAATCCAGACACTGGACAGTTCTGTCACCCATGACCCTTCTCAGCATTCCCCCCTCTCCACCCCTAGCCCCCAGAAGTTTTGGATGGAAAGTTTTGCTTTCTGTTACTATAGATTAGTTTTGCTTTTACTAGAGCTTTATAGTAATGAAATCATTCAGCATGTACTTTTCTTTGTCTGGCTTCTTTTGCTCAGCACAATGTTGTTGAGATTATCTGGGTTGCATTTATCACTAGTTGATTTCTCTTTATTGCCTAGTAGGATTCCATTGTATGGATTTATCAAAATGTATCCGTTCATCTGTTTATGACCATTTGAGTTTGGAGCTATTATAAATAAGACTGTTAAGCGGCCCTTTTTGCAGATACATATTTTCATTTCTCTTGGGTAAACATCCAGGGATGGAATTGCTGGGTCATATGGTAAGTGTATGTTTAACTTTATAAGTAACTGCCAAAAAACACCGTTTTCTTCTTAGAAAGTTGATTTTTTTTTTTTTGGCAGGAGTTCACTGTAGACTGTCTGAAAACAGGTCGGTGTGTCAGTGGCTGTTTGGTCTAGAAGTTCTGGGACAGGGTCAGGGTCCAGTCTGGGTGAGACGGTATTGGGTTATTGCTCACAGTAAAGAGACTAGGCAGGCCAGCTAGCAGGGTTTAAACAAACAGCGTGTGCTCTTTGGAAGAGAGTACATTTCAAGGTTGGGGGAAAGGCTGTGCTTGTAAGGAAATTGATAATCCCTGAAGGATGCAAGGTACTTCCAGGGGAAGTTGTCCCCCATGGGGAAGATGGAGGGCTTTTAACCCAATTCATTCCTTACCTTCCCTGCCCTCTTAGGAAGAGAACCCAGTGGCCAGCTCAGACCTGAACTATTGAGAGATGTCACACAATGCATGTAGAACAGGGAAATTTTGGCTCAGGACCTATTTTTGCTTCTAACTTGTATGGCAAATGGAAATAAGATACCAAACCTACCTCACAAGTTTGAAACGTAAGAAAGGTCCTTTGTAATGGAAATAATAGGCAAACGGAAGTTGCTATTCATCGGTCCACTAAGGAATAGTCAATACACATTTCTAGCCTTCTAACTTTTTTTCTAAAGTAAATATGCTTGTGTTAGGAGTCAAATTTCTGATCACCATTTTGTAATGGTTAATTCAACTGGAGATCACGTTTTGTCTGCTTAAATGCAGGTGTGTACTAGCGGGTATTCTCTAAATATGTTCAAAGCCATCTGGTTTCATAGACAAAGTAAGTTTGGAAAACGCTGTGTTGCAGTCTCTGTATGCTGGCTGTCTTGTGGATATACCCTAAGTGTAATAAAGTTCGTTTTGATAACATTACCCTGTTGGATAGTGTATTAGTTATCTGATGCACAAATTTAATGAGTTACCAACAATTTAGCAGCTTCAAATCACGCACATTAATTATCTCACATTGGATCAAGAATCTTGGCATGGCTTAGCTGAGTCTTCTGCTTCAGGGTCTCTTACAAAGTTGTCATCAAGGAGTTGGCCACAGCTAGGGTCTCCTCCAAAGGCTCAGCTGGGATGAATTCACTTCTGAGGTCACACAGTTGTTGGAAGAATTTGGGTCCTTGAAGTTTAGACTGGCGCCTCAGTTCCTAGGTGGCTGTTGGCCGAGGCCACCCTCGGTTTCTCGCCATTAGGGCCTGCCCAGCATAGCAGCTCGTTTCCTCAAACATCCAAGCCCAGAAGGTGGTAAAGAGTCTTCTCACAAGATGTAAGTAAGTGATATCCCATTACCTTTGCTTTATTCTTTTTCTTTTTTCCCTATCCTCACCAGAGGACATTTTTTTTCCATTGCTTTTAGAGAGGGGATCAAACCTGCAATCTAGTTATGTGCCCTAACCAGGAATTGAACCCACAACGTTTAGTTTATGGGATGCCGCTCCAACTGAGCCACACCAGCCAGGACCCTTAGTTCTATTTTTCTGGCTAAATTAAGCAAGTTATAGGCCCCACCCACACTCAAGGGAATGTGGGGTCCAGCAGGCCATCTGAGACTCTGCTTGCCAAGGTGGGTTACAGTCAGGCCCGCCTCCCTCTAAAACCAAATGTAATACAAATAGTTGCCTAGAGAATCTAGCATTAGGTAAACAACTCAGTCACCGAAGTAAGAATTAGTGCATATACTTGGTACATATTGTAAAGGAGGATCCAGAGTCATTTACTCTTCTAGTCTTATTCGTATAGGAAGTGGGTGGAACAGATAGACGGTCAGTGGAATTTTCTCATATATCAAGACCAGAACCTGGCACAGAACCTGACCCAAAGGAGGCCCTCAATAAAACTGTCTGCATGACTTTGGTTTTAAAACAAAGCTTAACTCAATCAGTTCTGTTGCCCTGCTTTTTAACAATTATTTTATATCCTTCATCATGAAATGAAATACATAAATAGAATTTACCTACATACATAATTTCAAAATATTAATATGACTTAACCGTAATATAAAAGACAAAAGAGTAATTTATAAAAATGTTTTAATATCTTAATGCTCTAAAACAAAGTAGTTAGGTGCTTGCTTCTGAATTTAGACTCACTGTTAATGGCATAGATATAAGTACAGACTAATACCACATATGCAATTAAGGACTCAAATCCTACTATTTTCTGTGGGTGATGTGATCTTTTCAGAAAGATAAACAATTCTTGGAAATACTTCGAACAAAACAAAAAATAATTATCCCGTATTTTACACAGTAATTGCATTCCTAGAAAATTCAGTATACAGTGGTACTCGGAGCTTGTCGTGAATTTGTCCTGGAACTCGTGACGAGTGCCAAAACCGATGAGTACAGGGCAATGAAGCATTTTCTTTGTGGGGCGGTATGGTGGCTCATACAAGTTCTAGAAAGTGCAGTGAGTCCCAACCAGGTGCCGAGTGCTAAAACATTTTCCTTGTCAAAATGAGCCAAGTACAGGGTTTGTCCAGTTTTGAAGCCTATGAGTACCGAGGTATGACTGTATGTTCAAATTATGCAAAACTACCTTGTTTGGGGTTAGTTTAGGCTTGCGTAATTATAAGGTTTCATCTGCAGGTATGTCATATAGGATATTGGAAAGCATGAGGGCCTTGAGACCATCTATTGTACGGGACTTGGCTTCACTCTTAGCCAAATGAATGGCTGGGACCTGGCACTTTCCCCTACACACACTCCCCGAACTCCAGGCAGGCCCCTTTCCACCCCTCCCAATGCCCTAGCCCTGAGTCCTCGCCACAGCAAAAACACTCCCATGAACTTCACTAGGGGGCAGCACCACGCCCCATTGGAAACCACAGGAATAAGGCTTAACCTCTTGGGGAAAGGAAAGTGATGCAGTTATTCTGGTTTGGTTGAACACCGGTAAGCCCAAATATCAAGGAGTACCAGGAGGGAGAAGAGAGAAAAATCGGAGCACTCAAGTATCTACTGTGCCCCAGGAGCCAAGGCATAGCTGGGTGTTTGGACAACAGAAGACCACAGTAATTGCTGGAGGTAGAGAGACAAGGAATACCGTATGTTAGGCTGTCAGGAATAGGCGTCTTCAAGTGGATACTTTGAATGCTGAATTTTAAGAATACTGATGAAATCCTTCTTTTTCCAACAGGAACCTGTTTCCCTCCAATCTTGTGGTTGCAGCTTTTCGAACGGTAAGGCTTGATGCTTTACTAAAAATGTGAAACTTTGATGGGGGTAGGGGATATAGAAATTCCTGCTGTAGAATTAGGTAAGGTGGGACAGGGAGAGAGAATGCTGCCAACAAAACTTGGTAACATTGGTCTAAGTTTTATAGATGGGCCTCTGGAATAAAACAAAACAAAAAAAACTCAACATTTTTCTAAAATATTCTGCTGGTTCCAGTATCTTTTTCACATCCCCTGAGAAATACCCTCAGATCACATTCTGGGGCTCTCTTAAATATTTTAGAATATTCTTAAGTACAATTTTGTTTTTTTTTTTCTGATTAAAAAGGTAATATATGCTCATTGCAAAAAATTAAAAATAAAGTACAAAAAAGTAGAAGGAAATAAAATAAAAATCACCATATTCACCATGTAAAGCTACCTGTGAACATTTTGGTATATATCCTTCAGATCTGTTTTTCCTATGCATGCCCACATGTTTTAAAAATCATTATAGTACACATATTGTTAGTATGTACACATACTATACATATCGTTTGCAAACTCTTTTTTTTAAGCAGTGTGTTGTAAAGATTTTATCATGTTAGGAAATATCCTCTACACAATGTTATTGCCTGTATTCCACCCTATGAGTGTTCCATAATTTTACTCCATTGATCTCTTATTGATGGACATTCAGGTTGTTACTAGTTTTTCCCTAATTTTAGCAATACTGCAAGTAACATCCCATGGCCATGCTTTTACACAGAGAAGAAATATAAAGGTCTATATTGACTAATCTGATTGCTCTTTTTAAACAAAGACTTTTCTGTTTCTACTTACAGCTTCTCTCTTTTTAAAAAATAACAAATCTGCATATAAGCACAGCTGTGACATATATATAACATGAGGTAGGAGGAAAAGAAAAGGTTTCTCTCTGTCTCTCAAATCAATAAATAAAATTTTTTTTAAAAAGCCCTCGCCAGGCGGCTCGGTTGGTTAGAGCTTGGTCCGTATACACCGAAGCTGGGGGGTCAATCTTCCATCAGGGCACATACAAGAATCAACCAATGAATACCTAAGTAAGTGAACCAACAAATTAATCTCTCTCTCTCTCTCTCCTCTCTCTCTTTCTCTTTCTTTTCCTCTTTCTCTCTCTAAAAGCAATCACTAAAGAAAATTTCTTAAAAAGAAAAGAACAGGTTTATGGTATTTCAGTGCCTGTCACATCTGAGGTGGGTTTTGTTTTCCCTTCCACCCTGGGAGTGGGGCTCTAAGTGCCACTAAACCTCTCTGCCTGCCTGAAAGCTTGGTAAATCGAAGCTGAGGGGGACCAGAGCTCCTCAAAGCCTCGCACAAAGCAGGCCTCCGTGCCTGTACCTCCTAATGGGCTGCTCTTGACAGTTCAGAAGCCCGGTGTCCATAGAAGAGGTCAGGAAGGGTGTTTCATCACAGATTGCCCGCTATAGTGCACCTGCCACAGGGAGACACCTTTGTGCATTGTGCAGAAATGTCTGAGGTCAACTGCAGGGCCAAGGCTGGAGAGATCTTTTGCTTCTGAGAGGTGGGTCTCCCACAAGACTCAGCCAGGAAACTGTCCATCTTGCCTGACATCCTTTGCTTTGGAGAATGGAGGCTCAGGCCAGTTAGAAAACGATTCTGAAAAGCAGTCATGTGCAAACAAGTTCTGGAACAACGTGGAATATAAATAAATGGATAAAAATAAAATGATACATTGAAAAGTGAACTTGGGCATTATGGAATTAATACAAGTTTCTCCAAATAAAATAAACAATCAGCTGTTTGAAATATCAAACTATCAGCATGAAATTGGGCAGACCTACAAACCATTGTCCAAGGGACATAAAGTTCTCCCTGTGTCCTTGGGTCCCTAAATAACCCAGAGGCCTCTTGAAGCACATGCTGCTGTGGTCTTAAGTTACTTATGTATAGTTTTCAGAGTCCTTCGTCAGGCCAACCAGGTGACCACTACCCCCAACCCTCGGAGTGAATTATGACAGGACAGCAAGAGGCCCAGCAGTCCTCTCGGTTCCTCTGGGTCCATCTTCCCCTGTGAACTGACAGTGGGTTTTTCTTTCTCTCGCTCACAGTATGCAACTGACTATAAAGAGGTGACCCACGGCACGGACACTGGAAACACAACCCTCGAAAAGGTGAAGCTCCTTGTAAGATTACTTGTGATGAACTCTTACAAAGCAAATAATGCTTCTTAATTGAAGGAGCATACACGTTGCAGCTTTTTCTCAGCAGGGCTGAATGCTTTGGGATTTGGGCGGACTGTTCAAAGTGCACAGGTTGGGTTTGCTTCTTTGGTTATTCACCAACATGGCCAAAGGCCAGTGTCTGTAGCTTTGGAATCTTCAGTGGATCTATTTCATTGAATTGGAACTAATGTTCTCTTTCTTCAAAAATAGTTTATAATGCCCCTTATACTACCCTGATATATAATTAACAGGTGATTTAACCTACCCCTACACATTGAAATTGTTTTAGGGGCTTAACTTACTTGAGCCATTATTCATTCACACAAATTTTGGGGGGGGTACCAATTGTTTGCCAGACACTGGGCTAGGTCATGAGAGCAAGAAGGGATGAGGGACCTCAAGGATTAGTCAGCGCAGCCGGAGAACTCTCATGGGAAAACGGAGGTATTTTGCTCTTTTCCCACCCCACACACACACCTCCCCAGGGCAGAGGGCTCTGAGTGCCACCAGCCTTTCTTTGATTGAAGGAAAAGTTCTACTTAAAAAAAAAAAGTTACTGCTTTAGTTCAGTTCACTTCATCTTGTAGATGAAGAACCTGAAGCCCAAAGAAGTTATTTAATATCAGAGCTGGGACTAGAACTATGGTAAAAATGCTCTTTCTGTTTTTACCATGCTGGCATATGTTTCCTGTTCAGAATTTCATAATGTATTTTGATGGAATAAAGTGACTGTCTAATACATGCTTTCAGTGGTGAGATTCAACATTACTGGAAAAAATAAAGAATACACTCTATCTATACATTTAAAGTCAGTGATTTAGGAACAAATATCCTGAAAATACCCAGGTCAATCCTAAAACATCTTTTGGGACATTTGTCAGCTAGGAGGCCATCATAACAGCTTAGCAACAAAGCATCTGTTGGTATTTAGGAGGTGAAGTAACAATCATTGACTCTTGATCTGAAGGAACTTTTCACCAACCAGCTCTTCTTTTAAAAGCAGCATTTGAAGTGATTGTCCAAACCTCTACTTTAATATCCAATATCCAGTGAGCTCCCTGCTTCAACCTATGCCAATTTTGAACAGCTTTTAGAATTAACGAGGTGAAATTTTTGTTGACTTTCTGTATCCTTAGACTCCATCTCCCCTTGACTTTCCTACCTCCTGATTTGTGAAGGCGCTGAAGGTTAAAGAAAATAAGAACCTTTTCTCGTTCTGGGCGTTGTGTTTCAGTCCAGTGGAGACACAAAGCAAATGCACCTTTAGTTCTCATTCATCTGTTATAAATTTGGACCCTACGTTTACTCTAATTCTGCAGATCCCCATTGGCACGGAGATCGAAGGGATGAATATTTTGGGACTGGTCCTTTTTGCCCTGGTGTTAGGCGTGGCCCTAAAGAAACTAGGCCCTGAAGGAGAAGAGCTTATCCGTTTCTTCAATGCCTTCAACGAGGCGACAATGGTGCTGGTGTCATGGATTATGTGGTAAGTAGTGCCTCCCTCCCCACCTCCTGCTCTTCCTCTTATTTTTCCTGCCATCCAGACAAGAGCCCAACTCTGCTGTTCTAGGTCACCCCTGGGTTATCACCTAACCCAGGGCTCTGTACGTGGTTGATGCACAATGGGCCAGTCCTGGTACAGAGTGTGATGGACGTGGAGGCAGTTCCTCCTTCTGTCCAGGACCTCAGGCATGTTACATAGTTACCAGTTACTTCCTCAGCACCCACAGTGACCCCCTATGGTTCTATCATCAGAGATCTGTGTGTGGTTTCCCACCATCATCCCACTTTATATGCAAAGCCCATATCATCTTGTGGAGCAATGAATTCCATATGTTTGCTATCTGCTGTCTAAAATAAGGCTTATTTATCTTAAAATGATAGACTCTGAGCTTCAAAGGGCCCCTTACTATCATATTTCACAACAAGGAAAACAGATCCATCTTCACCCTGTGCATATGTGAACTTGGAATTGTCTTTTTTTTAACATAAATGTTTCTGTATATAACAGTAATGGAAGTGTAATTGTTTAATAAAAAATTATTAGCCCTGGCTGGTGTGGCTCAGTAGATTGAGTGCCGGCCTGTGACCCAAAAGGTTGCCGTTTGATTCCCAGTCAGGGCACATGCCTGGGTTGCAAGCCGGGTCCCCAGGTGGGTGTGTGTGAGAGGCAACTAATAGACGTAGCTCTCACACATCGATGTTTTTCTCCCTCTCTTTCTCACTCCCTTCCCCTCTCTCTAAAAAAAACAAATAAAATCTTTTAAAAAATTTATTAGATTGACTTTTGGCTAAAAGGTAAAAATTTGATCTGATCCCTCAAAGTAACTTCTCAGAAATCATGCCAATTCCATGGCAGTCCCTCATCAGCTTCATCCTGCTGCTTTACTCAAGCCAAACATCTGTGGCCAAACCTATTCGTTACCGAGAAACTAGTTTACCCTTTCATGCACAAAGCATTTTCCTCATTGTCACCACTTAAATATTGCAGAACTTTCTTGATGGCACCGGGATGGCACTTGGACTGATTTTAGGAAAGAAGCCTGAAATTTAGTAGGAAAGTAATTAAGTGGAAGGCCAAGTCCAAAGCTCCCACTGGTAGTGTTTATTCTGCTCGACCAAGCATTTCAGAACCTGACCCTTATCATTGCAAACATGAAACTCCATTCATATGATTGTTGTTGTTGAGAGAGAAATAGTTACAGAAGGAAAAAGTGTTTTCATCACAGCTCAGGTTCTTTTTCTGGTTTATTTTTTTAGTCTAAGATCTCATGCTGAGCCCTGGCCTGGTGACTCAGTTGGTTGGAAGAAGCATGATCCCTCCATCCCCAGTCAGGGCGGGTGAAGGAGGCAACCCACTGATGTTTCTCACGTCAGTGTTTCTCTTCCTCTCTCCCCTCCCCACTCCTGTCTCTCTAAAATCAATAAACATATCTTCAGGTGAGGACTAAATAAATAAGATCCCCTGTTGAGTGTCTAACTGCAGTGGGAGATCTGTTGCCAAGAAAGTGCATCGCACATGGAGTTGGGGTTTAAAATGTCTTGACTAGTTAAAGGATCTCAACCAGGTGGGGGGGGATCTTCAGCAGTAGTTCTTTTGGCTTTTTTTCCTTTACTAACTACCCACTCCAATATCCAAGCACCTGCCTCACCCACACTATTCAGAGAAATAACTCCTCTGTGGATTAAATACAGGGTCTGCAAACTTTGCAGGCTATATGGTCTCTCACACAACTACCTAACTCTGCTATTGTAGGACAGAAGCAGCCATAAACAATTTGTAATTGAACGAGTCTGGCTCTGTTCCAATAAAACTCACAGTGCCAACCCATGCATTCAACTCTCTAGGGAAGAAGCAGAAAGAAGGAAGGGGTCCTCTGAAAGTATTAGAAGAAAATACTGGGTTAGGGAAAGTTTTCCTAAACAAAATACAAAAATTGAAAACCATAGCAAGTTGCTAAATTTGAATATCTCAAAATATAAAATATTTGCTTGCAAAGATACCTTGAACATAGTTAAAAGACAAGACACTTGTTGGGGGGAAAAATCACATGTATTTGCATATAGTATGTATGTGTATATACACACACATACAATCTCAAAGCATTACTTTCCAAAGGACTAGTTCCAGCTCACAAACTGTTTTTCTATCTGCAATTAGATTTATTGGGAAATTGAGAATAAGTATTTAGAAACTTTTACAGTAGTTTTATACTGCTGCAACACCCAAACATGTGGTCATTTATTTTATTTTATTTTTATTGTCTTTTATAAGAATATTGGTTCATGACTCACTGGATAGAAATTAACCAATCTTTTACCAAAGATCATTTGAGAAACACTAATATAGGGTTCTGATGTGTGAAAAAGATGTCCTGGCTGGTGTGACTTAGCGGATTGAGCGCTGGCCTGCAAACCAAAGGGTTGCCTGTTTGATTCCCAGTGTAGGGCACATGCCTCGTTGTGGGCCAGGTCCCCAGCTGGGAGCGCACAAGAGGCAACCACACGATGATGTTTCCCTCTCTTTCTCCCTCTCCTCTCCCTAAAAATAAATAAATAAAATATTTAAAAAAAAGAAAAGAAAAGAGGCTGAATGAACTATTACAAAATAGGGAAAGTATGTGAGCAAGCAATTTATAGAAGAGAAAACCAGGTTATGCAGGGACATGAAAAGTTTGTTTTTATCGGGCGTTGGTAAGGGTGAGGATAAAGTTTCTCAACAGCAGCACTATTGATTGTGGGCTGGATCATTCTCTGTTGTGGGGGACCCTCTTGTGCACTGTAGAATACTTAGCGGTATCCCTGCCCTATAATTCACTAGATGTCATTAGCATCTCCTCCCCAAAGCTGTGATAACAAAAGCTATCTCCAGACATTGCCACATATCCCTGGGGGCAAAATCATGCCTGGATGGGCACCAGTGATGCAGAGGGAGGATGATTCTTCTGGACAGCTAGGGGGAACGTGAATTGGCACAGCCCCTTTAGAGAACCATTTGCTGGTGTCTGCTAAAATTTAAAATGTGCACACTTTATAACTCGGCACTTCCACTTTTTGATGTCTCTACCTAGAGCACAAAGAGGCCTGTCTGCAGCGTTATTTTAAATGATGAAAATCTGGGAGCAATTTAAATGTCCATGTGCAGGGCAATGGCAAAATAATCTATTGTATTTGGGTTGTGAGGATAATAAATTTTAAAATAATAAAGTAAAAGTAGAAATAGCCAATTGTCCAGTGACAAATAAATGAGCAAAACGTGGCATACACATACAGTGGAATATTATTCAGCAATAAGAAGGAATGAAATTCTGGCACATGCTGCGACATGAATGAACCTTAAAGACTTGCTCAGTGAAGTAAACCAAATGCAAAAGTGCAAATATTATTGTAAAATTCCATTTGTAAACAGTACCTATAAGAGTCAAATTCATAGGGACAGAAAGTAGAACAGTGGTCACCAGGACAGGGGGAGGGACTTGTGGGGGTAATTGGTAAATGAGCAGAAAGTTTCATTTTGGGATGATGGACAAGTTCTGGAGATGGATAATGGTGACAGTTGCACAACAATTGAAAGAACTTAATGCCACTAAAATGTATGATTAAAATTGTAACTTTTATGTTATTCATGTTTTCTCATGATGAAAAGTATACTGATGTAGGCGGCTATGTATTTCTATGAAAGTATCTCAAAAGACATAATGGGGGATTAAAAATAGACATACAGACTTAAATACATACCTATGTCTCTAAATGCATAGAAAGTGTGCCTTGACCAGGTAGCTCAGTTGGTTAGAGTGTCGTCCTGATATACCAAGGTTGCCGATTTGATTCATATGCAAGAATCAACCAGTCGCTCTGGATGATGTGGCTCAGTAGGTTGAGCACCAGCCTGAGAACTGAAAGGTCGATGGTTCGATTCCCAGTCAGGGCATGTGCCTGGTTGTGGGCCAGGTCCCAGCTGGGGGTGTGTAAGAGGCAACTGATCAATGTTTCTCTCCCTCTCTTTCTCCCTCTATTCTCTTCTTTCTAAAAATGTTTTAAAAAAAAAATCAACCAACACATCCATAAATAAATGGAACAAATCTTCTTCTTCCTCTCTCTCTCAAATCAATTTTTTAAATGAGTCAATGCATAGAAAGTAGGAGTGGTTAACTGAGGAAGGGTCTGGCTTAAGGGTGGTACTTAAAAAGAGGATTTGGGCCTAATCAATAATGTTTTAATTTTTTGAAAGGAGAATGTATTCATGTGTTACTATGGAATTTATAATTAATAATACTGGAAAGAAAACTCAAGAAAGCAGTGGCATTGGCTTTCTCCAGGTGAAAGGGAGACTTTACGCTACTCGCCCTGTGTACCTCTGAAATTTGAACTATGTGACATTAGTATCTATATAATTAAAATTTACCAAAAAAATCAATGGCTAAAATTCTTCCTCAATATATATTAAGTTCAAAACAACTGACTTTTGTTCTTTGTAGCTCCCCCAGTTTACTCCTTCCCTTCCTTCTTCTCATCCTGCCAGTAAAAAAAAAAAAAAAAAAAAAAATCTTCACGCTCCAGGAGCATTCCCAGAAGGCCATTGTTAATGACTTTTTCCCATGGAGTCATGTTTTCCAAATCAAAAAGAATTTAAAACCTCACAAAGTCTCAGCATTGTCTCAATTTTGCAAAATAGGTGCTAGTCTTTTGTGTTTCTAAGTTCTCAGAACAAAATGCATTGCCAGAGGCTTTATCTTGAATAGTTTTTTGCCCTTCCACTTGGGAGCCCGCCTGGTTGGTAGCCTCCATCTCTTAAGAACATAATCTATCCAAGGGGAAAGAAGTCCTGGTTCTGGTTCTGACTCCATTACCCATAGTGATGTATCCTGTTAATTTTACTTGGTTTCAGAGCCTGTAAAACAGGCTCCCCGCTTTCTATTCCTCAGGGTCATCCTAAGGGGGAGATGAAGACTGCCTAGTTGAAAGTCGCTGTGTTGGGTCAGGAAGGGCCTGCGTCTCCCAGCCCCTTCATCACGTCACTCTTACTGACACGGGCCCTGTGCTCATGCCCTAGGTATGTACCCGTGGGCATCATGTTCCTGGTTGGAAGCAAGATCGTGGAAATGAAGGACATCATCGTGCTAGTGACCAGCCTTGGGAAATACATCTTTACATCTATATTGGGCCATTTTATCCATGGAGGAATTGTTCTACCACTTATTTATTTTATTTTTACACGAAAAAACCCATTCAGGTTCCTCCTGGGCCTCCTCACACCATTTGCGACAGCATTTGCCACCTGCTCCAGGTGAGTGGCTCTCGGGTGTCCCTGATGGCTCTGAGCTGCGTTCATATGAAACCAGGTGAGCCCAATGGTAGATGCACAACTGGAATCTTAACATATTTTAATTCTTTGAAAACTCTAAATTGGTCTTACTTTATTTATTATATCACCAGCCCCAAGAGCTCTTACAGAAACAGATTCCTGTGATTGTCAGAATGAGGAATCGCCTCATGTCCTCCTTCCGGTTCCTTGGTGGTCAACCCGATCATTACTTAGCCCATAGGAACTGCGGGTCCTCACCCTAATTAATAAGACCTTTGCCTGAGTAAAAGAAGGCAGCCACTTAACTCAAAATGCACTGTAGGGAAGTTTCTAGAATGGCACCTGTTACGATCTTCCTCTGGATGCACGAATTAGAAAATAAGACCGAGGCATCATGATGAGGGATGCATATTCAGCTCTCTAGGATTATTTAATTTAGCACAAAAGATACACCTTGTCATTACTGGATACTTTCCCCCCAAAAATGGATTTTCCAAATGCACTAAAGAAAGCTATCAAAGGATGGCAGCACATTGTTTCAATCTCACGTTTAGCTTTTGCCTCTCTACTTCATGTTTCCTCACATCCTGAAGGACTAATCATAAGACAAGGTAGTGGTGGTAAAAAGTAATAGGGAGGTCAGTCTCTTTGGTTCAGAAAGAAACAAACCTACTTTTCAGCTGCACCAGCCACCCTCTGCGAAGCCCACAGAAGTGACTGGAAAGAACAGGTCTTGTTTATTCAGTTATCTATGAACACAGTTACTCTTCCCAAATTCTCAGAGCCATTTCTCCTTCTTGGCCTAAAAGGGGAAAAAAATCATAGTTTGCCTTATACTTTAGAGGCAGGAAATTCAACAGGAGAGATGCACAGGTGGAGTCAGTAGTTCTTTGTTCCCCTGAGAACACTTTGTACCACAAGACAATATGTGGTTCTTGAGAAATTTGGAACAGTTGTATCCAGGTAAATAACATAACAGGTAAATCTAGGGAGTTCCATTTTAAATACTTTGGGAGTTGACAAAACCCCATGTTGTGAGAGAAACTTTGAAAGAATTCTGATTTTTCTTTTATTTCAAGGGAAGAAAGCCAGACACTAGGATGGTGTTAATAGTTCTGTTCCGGAGTCTGAGCTGAGCAATATGTTACCCTTAGAAGGACTGTTTTCATCGTTGGTTGTTTTTCTCTAGCTCAGCAACCCTTCCCTCTATGATAAAGTGTATTGAAGAAAATAATGGCGTAGACAAGAGGATCAGCAGGTTCATTCTCCCCATCGGGGCCACCGTGAACATGGACGGCGCAGCCATCTTCCAGTGCGTGGCTGCAGTGTTCATTGCCCAGCTCAACAACGTAGAGCTGAAAGCAGGACAGATTTTCACGATTCTGTAAGTTCATTACTCTTTCCTTCCTCTTTAGGAGTGGGACAAAACTTGAGGTATTTCTTGTGACCTCTTTTGAAATACCTCATAATCACCAGTCTCACCAGGATGCGGGTGTCTCATTATGAGGGTAGCATGAATTCGTTACTTCAAGAGAGTGGCTCATCTGGCAGAATCCAGGGTTGTGTGGTTTGGGGTTTCCAAGCCAAGGCTGCCATGGTTCTGCATGTCTCTGTGCCCCCTCCATGCTCCGTGCTAATGGCTGACCCTGCTGTGCCATCCCCTAGGGTGACGGCCACGGCGTCCAGTGTTGGAGCGGCAGGCGTGCCAGCTGGAGGGGTCCTCACTATTGCCATTATCCTGGAGGCCATTGGGCTTCCCACTCATGATCTCTCTCTCATCCTGGCTGTGGACTGGATTGTGTAAGTAGCAAGTCCTAAGGGCATCGGACAAAGGAAACTCTGTGCCAAGCTCACAGGAGCTTGGCACTCCACGGGACCTGCGGTATGTGGAGAAACTTTAGGCGCGCTCCTCGCCTTCGGAAGGAGCCCACAGTTGAGCTGACAAAACAAAATCTAGAGCAGGGAAAAATTAAACAATATGACAGCCAGAGGCCCATGAATGATCACGAAATATCATTACCAAGAACTTGTTTGGAGCATCCAGGAGCACATGGGCCCAAGGGTCACAAAAACCTGCAGATTGTCAGCTGCATGGGAATCATAGCCATTGCTGCCCTGAGCCTTCAAGGAGGGTAGCCCTTGACCTGAAATGTCCAAAGAATGATCTCTGTGCGGGGAGAGAAGATGACCCCAGCTAATTCCCAGGCCTTGGCTTAGGGTCAGGGGAGGAGGTGTTAGGAAGGAGACCGCTTTCAGCAGGGCTCCTGTAAAGACACAGAACATTGAGTGTTGATTCCTTGAGTTGCACAACACCTTTCTCAGGTTGGAACAACACCCATTTTATAGGGAAGGTTAGCTGAGATACTAGTGTTGGACAGTAGAACGTATGAATAAAAAAATGAGCCCTAGAGTCCAGGGATCTGGGTTCAAATCCCAGCTTTGCCATTTACTAGTCATGTGATGGAACTGTTCTGTGCTTTGCCTGCTCACCTGTGAAATGGGAATGATGATGAACCTACCCCAGTGTTGTGGTGGAGATTGAGTTCGCAGGTGCACAGCGCATGGAAGGGTTCCAGGCACCTGGGAAAGCATTCAATGAGCATTAGTGAAGAAAGATACTGCTCACAAGGCTAGCCAGAGCTCCGCATGAGAAAACCTCAGCACTGGGGCTCGGCACTGGGATCGGCTCTGCCCGTGGTGGTTGGGAATGATGGTGGGTGGCTTCCAGCCTTTTCTCGTCAGCCCTGGAAACTTGAAGGGGCTTCTCAGAATCCTTACAGCTCCTCAGAGCAATGAGAGTGAAACGCACAGGAGACCTACATTGTCCAGACCACTCAGAGAGCACTCAGTTCCTGAGCTGGTGAGTTGGACAGAACCAGAGCCAAGGGTCAGGGGTCAGAGGTCCATCTCCTTGCTCATCTGCATGGGGAAGGCAGGCATCTAAGGGGTGCTCAGCCCAGAATAGGGAACAAGAGCACCAGACGGGCTGCCCAGGAGAGACCTGAAGTCACAGGAGCCCTCCCTCTCCCTGTGGCCTCTGGCTCCATGGCAATGCCCTCAGACAAGTTCATATTTTTTTCCCATCTCTTTAAAAATGGGCACAAAACTTCCTCTGAGCTCCAGGGAAGCTCTATGGGAAGATCTATGGGAAGACAAGCTTCTGGAAAGAACAGCGCTATTTTCTGTGAGGCGGCATTGCCAACAGCCATGGAATGCCTATGAAGACTGATGTTCAGTAGAGATTCAGTGTTGAAATGAGAAGGAAAAAGGAAAGCTGGACACAAAACCGTGTCTACACTCTCATCCATACATGATTTTTAGATGATGGGGTCTGTTACACCTAAAATACATGCACAGAAAAAAGACTGGAAGGAAATGATCAAAGTGTTAGTACTGATTCACTCAGAGTTGTAAAGTGTGTGGGGGTGACTTCTTTTCTTCTTTATACTTATCTTTTTTCCCTCAAGTTTTCTACGATGAGTATCTATTACTTTCATTTAAAAAAAAATTAAAAGAAAGCATCTAAAGTGCATCCTTACGCCCTTAGTAGCATGCTCACCAGGAAACAGCAGGGCCTCTCTGGGTCACAGCTTCTCCGTGGCCCTTAATGTCCTGTGATGGGGCTGCCCCCCTGGCAGCTCCAGGTGGCACGGGCTGTGACACCTACCTCTCTTTTTCCCACCAGGGACCGTACCACCACCGTGGTGAATGTGGAAGGGGACGCCCTGGGCGCAGGTATTCTCCACCACCTGAATCAGAAGGCGATGAAGAAAGGGGAGCAGGCACTGTGTGAGGTGAAAGTGGAAGCCATCCCCAACTGCAAGTCAGAAGAGGAGACGTCACCTCTGGTGACACACAAGAACCTTGCTGGCCCTGCTGCCAGCGCCTCAGAACTGGAATCCAAGGAGTCAGTTCTGTGATGGGGCTGGGCTTCGGGCTTGCCTGCCGGGGGTGATACCCACCCTATCAGTCCAGCCACTGGACACAGGCACCACCCACCACCCTCACCAACTTCAGCCTCCTGGGCAATGCATTGGCCCAGTCACTGGTTTGAGGATCGCTTCTCAGCACAGGCATTGGGTTTCCCAGCCAGAACTGGTTCCTGAGGACTGGGACACTCTGACATTCATTTTGATCCCACAACTGTGTGTGCCCCAGGCTCTGTTTGAAACACGCCCTCAAGCTTCCAAGCTGGTGGAAATAACAGGTTCACAGAGACCTGATGGTCAACACCCAGGAAAATGCAGAAGCGCCCTTCATTGTGCCGAGTCACTCTGCCTGGCTGCATTCCAGGCAGACCTAGGGTGTTTGCAGTCATCTGTCACATTGTCTTGTGAACCATAGTAATTGGAAAAATTCCCAAATTCTTAGCCTTGGCAGGAATTCGCTGAGCTGGGTCTCGAGGTGTTGGAGTTTGTGCTACAACTAGGTGCAGCTGGTCTGGGTCAAGGGTTCCTGGTGAGCTGGAGGCGCTGCACATTGTCAAGTTAGAAATAATCAGGGTGGTGTTAGCGATGTTGGGGCTGCTGGGTTCTGTTGTCAGCGCTATTAAGTAAGATATACATTCTGAGGTCAAAGAAAGGAGGAGTGCAGCCTGCAGGGGAAAGGGAAGCAACCTAACCAGGACAAGACACACACGTGCAATTGTCCCCGTTCTCATCCCAGCCTTGGGGGAAGTTGTCAGCTTCCATGGCCTGGGCCTCTGACAGCACTATAGCTTTATAGTCCCCATCCACTCTGATTTGGCGACAGGACAGAGAGAAACCTTTTCCTGTGGGGAGGTGTGATGTGATCATTACATTCAGGGCCCTGGTTGGTTTATCAATCTATTATTTTAATTCAACTAGCTCTCCCTAAAATACTGCATTCTGGCAAAAATAAAAATAAAAAATAAATAAAAGTTAAAATTTTAAAAATGCAAACCCACACACTAACTGGGGTGAGCTGCCCCCATTTCCAGGTCCTCAGACCCCCTGGCTTTGGCTGATCCCCTTGGGCTTGGTTTCCTTTCCTGCCAGTACGGCAAAGTTTCCAATTATAAGCCAGGCGTCCATGTTCCTCCAGATACCTACTGGCTTGGTTTGAATCAAAGTGAGGGGTCTTAGAGAGAAGACCAGTGAACCAGTGACAAAGGCGCAAGACTGTCACGTCACTGAGGCTGCTGGTGTGGACCTGTGGTGTGGCCCCGGGGTGCGGCCTGCAGTGAGTCCTGGGGCCTGCCTCTACCCGATCTGTAAAATGGGGCCGATGTCACCTGCCTCTTACCTACCTCAGAGGGATTTGGTGAGGTGAACTGAGTGAGTCTGTGAAGACAATGATTTCACTTCTTGGATATCAAGTGCTAACACCCCTATGCTCTTATTTTTTACCTAAGTGATTCCTTTCTGCACAGAGGCCGATCTCCTGGTGAAGACAGCTTTTGGGAGCAGGACTTTGTACTCTGCGTGCTTTAGCCACTTGTATCATGCCATTCTCTTTGTAGTTCTTTGACTGCGTCTAAGGCAGCCTCTTCCCGATGTCCTTCAAGTGTTCATGAATTAGCCACCTCACCTTTCATTGCATTTCTGGGCCCCCAACTGCCCTTGGCTCCCAGGCCCAGGCACTGTTCTACCACCCCTCAACAGGCCATCAAAGCTCCCACATTTTCCGTCTTGTTCATGTCTTTTTCTTCCCTGTTGCTGTGGTATTGCTGTCCCCCAGGCCCTACAGAAGGGGTACACACCATTAAGTTGTGAGTCCCATTGCGATGAGTATTGGCGGATAGGACAGAGATGGTCAAGCTCCTCCATTTAAAAATCCAGGGCCTGGGTCTGAGCAGAAGGGGTGGGGTGGGGTGGGGAAGGGCCATGGGCACAGAGCTGACCCAGCTCCCTCCAAATCTGTAAACCTGCTAAGCCAGTCCCATCTGTTGTGGAGACTGGAGTGACCAGGAACTGAGCTGAGAGGGGCCTGGAAACATTATACCCTCGACTAGAGCTTGCTGATACCCTTCTGTTTTCAAGGGAGGAGACAATCCCATTGATTCCAAACTGCCTCTTACCTGAACATTCAAAAGAAATGGATATTCACTACTTTTTAGGCTTTAGTATATTTCATCTTTCCCTCTTCTACATATACACAGCTGTGTGTGCACACACATGCACTTAAGTGTGTGTGTATATTTGTTTTAGCTCCAATCCAAGCAAGTTTGAGTTTGGATAGAGGTGAACTAACTGCAAGCTGTGTCACTTTGGCATCAGATTTTCCTGTTTCTAATGACAAATTTCACAAAACATGGAAATTAGAGCTAAGCAATGAGACCCTGTGACGGCAGAGGGTCCCTGCTGGACCTGGAATGCAGTGCGGAGAGTGCCGTGGCCTGAAGAAGCGTTCTTCCACGTAAAATCCTGTTGTGTTCACTTTTCCTTCCGGGAGGGGGGGTGGCGGGAGCTGTTTTTCTCCCTGTTTCTCAGTCCACAAGAGGAATCGGACCAGGAGCGACCCTGCTGGGGAAAATCCCCCGTTCTCATTGTCTGAAGATGTCTCCTTCACTATTCTCTTGTAACACAGCGTAAATACTGTTCAAATACCATTCACCTCTGACTTTTGTATGCATGACATTTGCCTTAAACATAGCTGTCTTCAAAAATGAATACAGTATTTCTACTAGGATCTACATGTTCCTTTATTCCTTTCTTGTGTTTTGAAGTAGTGTATGTTGATGGAGTTCTTACTCCACAGGAAATGGCCCCGTGGGCGATTAAATTGGATTTCTTTCTCCTAGCTTTTAGCCAGCACGACCCCCTGAGGCAGGGTAGGCCCATTCAGTTGTGCAAAGCTGCTGCAGGGCCATCACTGATTTGGCTTGCAGCAGGTGACATCCAGCTTTTGTTGGATACCTCCTGTTCAACACTAGCAGGGCTCTTGCAAAAAACAGCAGTTTCGTCCTGGCCGGGTGGCTCAGTTAGATGGAGCGTCCGTCATCCCATACACCAAAAGGCTGTGGCTTTGATCCCCTGTCGGGGCACATATGGGAGGCAACCGACTGATCTCTCTCTCTCTCTCCCCCCACACCCTCTCCCCACTCCCCTGCCTCAAATCAATTTTTAAAAATATACTCGGAAGAAAAAAAAGTCCTCGGATGAGGATTAAGGAAAAAGAGTGAACAGTTTTGCCACATACCTCCATAAAGTTAAGTCTTGTTAGGACAAGTAGGTAAACAGGCCCTGAGCATCTACTGTAAAGCCAAGAGCAAAGCTCCATAGAATTATTCAGAAAGTCCCTGCATCAGGCAGCCTCAAGCCTCCGTCATCCTCACCACCACACCCAGCCCGTTCTGTTACATAATCTCATTTTCGGTGACGCCGCATTTTAGCACAGTTAGGGAATTTAGGAGCCTCTTGTAATAAGATTATTTTACAAGCTCACACTGGAAGCATAGCTTCCACTCCCTGGGACTTCTGAAGAAACAAGCCCCCATTCTGACCCAGACATTTCCAGCTCTTCATAGTATAAAAAACCGGTTTTAATTTCTGGCCAAGGGAGGAGGAGGGCGTTTGCCCCAATCAAAGGCCTGATGGGGCCTGCTACTAGTGAAATTTAGGTTCCCACCTTAGAGTGTGGCTGCTCTGTATTTTCTGTTACGGACAGTGTTTGGAGGCTGAGATTAGTATTCAGTGTTGAGCTCTCACACAGCCATTATCAAGAGGGACAATTCTGGAAGCTGCCTCTTCCAGGTGAGCAGTTAGAACACTGATCTGTGGGGGTCACCTGAGCCTGTTCAGAGAAACTTCCAGTGACATCTGTGAATGGCATAAACCATGTAACAAGGAAGAGTATGCACTGTCTGGGGTCCAGTTCCAGCTTGACACTTCTTGCTGGTGACCCTGAGCACAGTAACCTCTCCGTGCCTCAGTCCCCCCATCTTTAAAATGAGGATAATCATTGTGCCAATGGCATAGGATATTATGAAGAACAGAGGAGGTAATATATGTAAATGCTCAGAAAAGCACCTGGTACGTGGAGCATGCTCTGTTACCATTGGCTCTCAAATCAGACACGGAATGGCAGGACAGTTTCCCAACCAGCCTGTGTCCGTTTGCGTTGGGGCCCAACAAGTGGCATGCTCAGGTTTGACCCCTTTTCCCCTTGGAAAGACAGAGAGGAAGATGTATTTCAATTCCTGGGCTCCTCTGCTGATCTGTGCCCATGTAGTACAGAAACGAGCCCATTTTGAATGTTTGAATATTTGGACGACTGCTTTAACCAGGCCTTGTAAAAAATTGTCAGGATGTACTTAAATGTCCTTATTCACAAAAGAAGCCCTCTGCTCAAGGTTTCCTCTCTTCAGCTATATCCTCTCAATTTGCAACTCAGGTGCAGGCGGCTTCCAGCAATATATCCTACCTTCTAAAGGGGCACCTGCTCTCCTGGCCCAAGTTCAACCCTTATTTATCACACTCACGGGAGGCAAAGGCAGGCTGGAGGGTGGGGGTTCCTCTCTGCCTCCCAATCTCAGGGCCCTTCACCTGCTGGCCCCTTCACTTGGGGCTCTCAGCAAGTGAGAGCACACAGTGGGAGGGGAAAATCTTAATTCATTCGAAAGAAAACTTCCCTCTCTTAAAGGAAAATAGTCATGATTCCTCACTGGTTTTTCACCTTTTTCAGAGAGTTGGAGCTGAGCATCCTAGAACTTATCAAATCAGGGTCTCAAACCCAAATTCCTTGTTTTAGGAACGAGATACCAGTGTCAGACTAGATTTCATCAGATTTAGGATTATTTTGAGCAAGACCCAAGACCAAGATGGTAGCTTTGGGGTTTTTAGGGCAGTTTGTAACAGATGAACTTGCCTCAGGCCCTGTGGTACAGCTGTCCCCAGGCTCTGCCTTTAGGCAGAAAGACAATCATGTACAAAGCTCTGAAGTGTTCCTTCTTTGAAAAGAGTTTCAGGGGCGTTCTGAGGTCAGTAAAGATTCAGCATCTCTATGGTTCTTTTTTAGATAATAACTTTATTGGGATATAATCCACACACCATAAAATTCACCCTTTTAAAATGTATAATTCAGTGGATTTTAGTATATTCAGAGCTGTGCAACCACCTAAAATCTAATTCCAGAAGAGTTTCATCGCCCCAAAAAGAAACCCAGGACCTCTGGTAACCACTAATCTATTCTCTGTCTCTATGGATTTGCCTGTTCTGGAATATATATATATATAAAAAGATATATAAATATATATATTTCCTTTTATAAGTACATCCCAGATAAAGAGACCTGATGTTCAAAAAATAATCCCCGCCCACCTTCCCACTATACCCATTCTCCCCCCACACCTAAAGGACATCCTGTAAGATTAATCGCTAAATACAGACTCAATCATTTTGGCCTGCAGGGCCAAAAAGGGGTGGGGGAGTTAACCAGAACACTCAGAACACTTAAATAATTTGAAGAGCCTCCTCCGCAAATGTGTATAAGTGATAAAGGTCTATGTATCTAGACCACAGGCTAAGTTAAATTGTGGTCTGAATCCAGGCAGCTGATTCAGCTAACATCCCGCTGACTGCACTGTGCACTTCGCCATGAAGCACCGTTCACGTTGCATCCTGTGCAAGTGATGCTCCTGGAGTTGTGTAGTACACACCTTCACTGCTGCACATGGCAGCCTCAAACTCTGGAGGTTAGATTACAATTAAAAGACTTGACTCACACTCAAATATGTGTGCCCTGTAAATCTTTTTTCTTTCTCATAGGTGGAAGCTAATGAGTCTCAGAGATGACAGGGTTGATTTGAGCTCGGGAGGGACCTCCTTAATCAACTTCACTGCTCAGGACGGTTTTCCTGAGTGTGCCTGTCATAAGGCATCTGGGTTTGTTGTTAGGCACCTTGTAGCATCAATGTACCTTTTATTATCTCTCTCGTCCACAGAGCAGCATGGGCTGGGTAGTGGGATGGCACACAGGCCCCCTCCTCACCTCCAGCGCAGACACTCTAAGGGAACCGATCTCATGACAAAAGGGCAGTCCCAGGATATTGTGAGTGGTGGTTCACTACATTCAGTACTTTCAGAAACACAAAAGAGCAATGGCCATGACTGGAAGAAGCCAGACACCAAAGATTACAATGTTATATGGGCTATTATTTCATTTATACCAACAAACTGGACTATAGGGCTCAAAGTCAATTTAGTAACCTTCAGGTAGTGAAAAGGGACCGTGGTTGGGAGGGGGACAAGAGAAACCTCTAGAAATGCGGGCAAGTTCTATTTCTTGATCTGGATGAGAGTGTGCTTTGTGATCATTCATTAAGTTGTATACATATGTTTCATGTACTTTTCCATACATGAGTGATACTTCTTTAGGAAAATAAATGGGAGCTGAGAGGCAGAACCTGGCAGAAGATCTAACTCTCGGTAGCAGTTGCGAGTGGCTTTGGGTGACCACGTCTTTTCTTAGGTGTCCTATGGCCCATCGGAAATTCTCTGAGCTAATTTTATCTTGACCATCTAAACTTTAGAGTCTAAAGCAGAGGTCAGCCAACCACGGACCACAGGTCAAGTCCAGGCCAGTGCTTGTTTTTGTATGGCCCTTGGGCACTGCTCCAGAAGAATAGCATGGTGAGCCACAGAGACCAAGCTAAGATGGCCTCCTCCACTGATTTCAGGGTTGACTTACCCATGAGGCACAGTACAAACGAAGTCTGGCTTCTTCCTTTAACTACTATCTACAGGCCAGGGCAAACTTCTAATTACTAAACGTCTGTTCTTATCATCTACAATGACCCTTTGAAACCCCCAAGGTACATTGCCTCACTCCTAGCACGGAATGTCTTATATA